TGGGGTACCCAGCACCCCAACTTTGCCTTCTTGCCAAGCTCAGCCAGATGATGAAGGATAGTTGTATGGGAGACACCCAGCAAGTCCGCAAGCTCTCGCGATGTTTGCCGGTTGTTGGCCTCCAGTGCCTCCTGCAAGGCAGAGTTATCAAACTCCGAAGGACGACCGGTGCGTGGCTGGTCTTCCAGGCTTTCATTTCCTTTCTGGAAGCGACTGTACCAATCATAGGCAGTGCTCTTGGACACAGTGTCCGGGCCAAACGCGGTATTGATGTCAGCGATGGAATTGGCTGCCTTCTTCTTGATTCGGAAGTCATAAAGAAGAAGCAGGCGAACTTGCTCCTTAGTAAGAGGGTAGGGCTGGTTCATGGCTGGAGAGCACCAGGGCTGTGATAATATACGGTTGTATGCCGAAGGACACGACCTACTTATAAACACACGCAGAACATTCTAGCATGCTCTGGAAAAAAATTGTACTGGATATTCAAGAAATTCTGAGAACTTTCTTTCCAATCAGATATGCTGCTACAGATTATTGTCTGCACAACATAACTAAATGTTTTCTCAGCTTCCAACAATGCCTGAAATGCATTTTTAAAGGCAGCCTGAACTAAGAAGAATGATGCCTTGTGAAGGCATCATTCTTCTTAGTTCATGCCTCTTGGTTCTCATTTTTGTCATGTTTGAAATACATATCTTACTCATCTAGATCAAAGGCTTCTTCCCAGACAGCATAGCCTGCTAAGTCAAAGGACTCTTTTATTTCTCTCTTCCTCCATAGCCTGCATGTGGAGAGCATTTAGAAACTATGCCAAAAATGCCCTATCAGTATGTTTGTATCTCACATTCTTTTATTATTTTAGATATTGAGTACACTCCCAAAACCCCCACTTTCATTGGTGCCACAAAATGGTACCTGCAAAAGCAGAAATTTCAATTGCTCTGCTTCATCTGGGGGTGTTGAGGTGGAACAGTTGAGTTGAAATGGCATCTATGAATCAAGTGACTCAAAACCCTCCAGTCTCTGGTTACTGATGGAGTTGTTCCAACTCTCTCTATCCATGGCTCTGCCTAATACTTTCAAATGCAAGTCAAAACAAGCCCTTCTAACCCTTTCGATGCCAAGGATTTACATGCCTAGCATGGCAGTGGAGGTTTGTTGCGCTGAACAAGCCATATGGCGTCAACAGTTGTGAAAGGGTTAATATAATGAAAGTGATTTATTTCTTTCCCATCCTCTTCTCATGAGAAATATGCATTTATTTTAGGTAAAAGGCTAATTATATTGTTTTTATAACAATCTTGAGTTTCTGGAGTATTTTAAGTGCAAAGGTCTGTATTGGAACAAATATACGTGGAGGGAATATGCTGCCTCATATATGTTTTTACCCTAATCACTATATATTTCTAACATGTTTATACTTCTGGGCAACAATATATCGATGACATAGGAGGTTGGAACAAATGGAACTTGTATTACGAGGGCTGCTCCAAAAGTTTCTGGCCTGAAACCTTGATTACTAACCAAACAAATTACATTTTCACTTTTCCAAATATTTATCATGAGACCAAACAAAATTTTTCATCCTCCCAAACCACTTCTAAAACGAGCTACACCAATCAGATGGAAACAACTTTTTCAGGACAGCTTTTCAAGTGCTGTAAGGGTCCCTTTGTTGCTTTGGAAAGTGCTTTTGAGCTGCCTCTTGACTTTTGGGGACAGATAAAAGTCACATGGAACTGCTGAGGAATAAGGTGGATGAGTGACCTTTTTCACCTTTTTCATCCAAGAAGCAAAAATGTTCTATTGCAGTGTGGGTGCTTGCATGGTCGTGATGCAGTTGAACTCCCCCAAAGACCTGACTGCAGACTTTAATCTCCAAAAACTGGAACCCCTGAGGCCACACGCTTTGCAATACCAATCAGCATTCATTGTTGTGCATTCCTGAAGGTGCATCACTTTCACCAAGCCATAGCCCTGAAAGAAAGCAGCAACCATCCTTTTTCCAACTATCCCACTGTGGAAAATCTCCTTTGGAGGCTCCTCTTCTGGAAGCACCAAAACTGAAGATTACTGTTTTTATTCTGGATCATAGTTGTGCATTCAGGTACCCAACAGCAGAAGTGGTCCCACAACCCCAGGTGATCAAGAATGATGACATTTACTGCGATCAATCCAACGTTGAGAGTGTCTTGACGCTTTCAGTAAGATTGGCGAGGACTGGCTATCACCAATTTCTTTGTATGGTCATCATTTGCTAGGGTCAAAGTTTCTCCTGGACATGCAGAAAGTGTTTCATCAAAAACTGAAGCTCCCCTCAACAAAATTCTCAAAATCCAAATTTGACGATGGAATATAATGCAAGAGATTCCCCAAAGAGCACCACAGAGACACCCTGTGAATACTTCCAGATAAGCAAATTTAAAGAAAAAATAGATAATGGTATGAAAATGCTCTCCTGTCAGTTCCATTTCCATTTATAAAAAATCCTACCTCCAAAAGTTTCATACACTGTTTCTTTTCAAGCAATGATTGAAATCACTTAAAATATACAAAATCAGGTGAGGCAAGAAACTTTCAGAGCAGCCCTTGTATATTACCTGCTAGTAGTAGAGGGCTACCAGCTTTCTTTCTATATTACAAGGGTTAGTATGAAAGTAATGCCTCTTAAATTTTTCTCCAGACTCCTGCATGGAAGACTGCCAAAAAAAATTTCTAGTTATAGATTTATATTTGCCATCTTTGCTGCATCAGTTTTCCAGAAGGGTGTCAGTTGAAAGCACCATTGCACCCTTTCAAAATTGCTGCTTCCCTTGATGCACATACAAAGCAGATTATTATGGAATAGCTGACTGCAGAGGGAAAACATTCATGGGCGACTGAAAGACATAAATATGACCTCTACCATTGATGTGAGCACAATGAGAGGGTGGACAAACAGGGTCAGGAGTGAAGAAACTGACTTGAAAGACAAGCCACACAGTGGTTGCTATTTTTTTTACAGAGTTTTACACCGTTTTATAGAGACAGCATACTTGCCCTTCTTGAGCACTTGGAAGAGTCTGTTGAACACGATGGGAACTACATGGAAAAAGAGCCATATATATATATCAGGTTGTAAAGGTGAAATTTAGACATTTCGATTTTTTCTAGAAAAATCTGAAAAATGTTAGAACTTTCTATGTAGGTGTATAAGTAGAGTGACCAGTGGGCATTGTGGGCGTGAGTGCTTATCGTGAACCTACAACAGATACATTGACGCAAGACTGCACTCTAGTCGTTGTTGAGTTAATTGTCAATAAATTGTTTTCTGGAAAATGTCTAAATTTCACCTTTACAACCTGATAAAAGGGCTTGGTCTATTTTCCAGCCGAATTTCATAATTTTTGCTGAAAAGGTTATCGAGAAAAAAATGTGCAGGCATTACTTTCGTACCAACCCTTGTATATATGGAGGTCTGTCTCATATGTATTAATACTACTTGGGTCTGTGCATAAGTACCTCAAGATGACCAATTAAGTTCTTAGTAGACCTTGAAAATGATCAAGCATACTGACTTCCCTCTTTCCAAGATACTAAGGCTAGCAGCACACTGGTGAAACATGAGGTAGAACATGTATCATACATGCTCCAACCATAAGTATAAAACCTTACCTGTCAAATTCATGCTAGTCAAGATGATGTTGATGGGGAAGACATTATTTTACTTTGGCAGCGGTCAATGGCAACACCATCATTGGATACACCCCATAAATACACAGTGGCATGCATATGGTTCCTTCCACCAGTTATTCTAAGAATTATGAAAAGATTCAGAACATTTCGCTTCACGTGTGAATGTCAGAGGCAAGTTTTGAAACCATCTTGAAGCTTGTCTCCCCTGATATGCAAGGTATGACCAAAAAAATGACCAATTACTTTTGACCTAAATATCTCTGCTCACACCAGAGTTATTTTTGTGAAACTTTCACTTTGCATATGCAGATTTCCTATTGATTCACAAAATGTCATTCAAATTAGTTGAGCTGAAGCAATTCTATCAGCAGTCATTGAAAAGAAGTTAGACATTGAGAATGGAAAAGAGCTCCTGCTAGTAGTGTAATGGAGGAAACACTCAACCACTTTCCCCCCTGGTCATCCAGACCATGTCAACCTCCTCTTCCATTTGAATTCATTGGGCTGGTTGTCTCTTGCAGGTGGTTTTCATGAGCTTACTCCCAATGAATAGCAAATGAATCAAAGAACATTAATCCAGAGAGTTTTCTCAATGTTCTTTCAGAATTTCCCTGTTTTATATTAACCTGAGTTCAGGGTATGACAAAAAAAGATCAACAACTTGGAGTGTATCTCATGATGCTTAAGTCATATCTCACAATATTTGCTGAGGATGTAGCATGTTTTTATTTATTTGAAAGTCAAGAAGGCATCCATAAATCCATTAATTCAGATCAAAGTTACAAATGATATAAGTCAGACATTTGAAATGAACAGTTCCTTAAATAAATAAAAAAGCAGCAAAAAAACAAGGAGAATTCAACGAACTTTGAAAAAACTCTCTGGATTGATTCATATGCTATTCATTGGGAATAAGCTCATGAAAACCATCTGCAAGAGACAACCAGCCCAATGAATGAATTCGAATGGAAGAAGGGCTCGATGTGGTCTCAATGACCAGGAAGGTAGTGTTTCCTTCACTCCACTACCAGCAGGAGCTCTTGTCCATTTTTAGTGTCTAACTTCTTTGCAATAATTGGTGATAGTACAGCTTTGGCACTACAAATTTGAGTGAAATTTCAAGCATCAGTTGGAAATAGTCATACATGCTAAATGAAAGTTTAGCAAAAATTGTTCTGTTGAGTGGAGACATTTTAGGTTGAAAGTACTCAGTCATTTTTTGTCTTACCCTGTAAACAAGAGAGGCACCAACAGTCTCATATATATAAAAGGAAAAATCTCAAATATTATAATTTACAATGGAAAGAGGCAAGAAATGAAGAAAGCCACAAACTCTAGGCATAATGCCTAATGCAAGACCTGTATGTAACAAGAAGTTTCTGCCTAAAGTTACTCATTTCATGGACTATGAAAATCCACACAGCAAGAGATTACTTGCATGTCAATTGCCAGTGTCCAAGGGAACTATAAGCAGGGTCATTCATGAGGATCTCAAAATGAAAGGAAAACGCAAGATCTAAGTCCTTGTTAGCCCAAAACACATCAGAGCGAGGAATTCAAACACTTGGAAATTATTCAAGTGCCACCTGGCCAGTGAAATGTAAAAGTATATTATGATGCTCAATCAAACTTGGTTGTACCTTTCTGTTTGTGGAATTACCTATTTCCTGCCAAAAACAGGGTTTGGTTTCTTGAAGCATGCTCTTGTGAATTGATGCCATAAAACTCTGGGGTGGACTTTGGAAAGTTATCAGTGAAGAATGGGAGAAATTGTGCATCTCTGTGCTCTCTAAAGCTCTGGGATCTTTTTCATGAAACATCTTTAACTTTTCTTTATCTTTACTTTAACTTTAACCCTCTTGTGCCATGGTGCTGATTTTTCACATGTACTCCTGCCAAAATGCCAAAGGCCAATTTTTTGGCCACGGCTCTTCGTAGTTAGATGGCATAAAAATCAGCCTACAGCATTTTTGGAAGTAGTAGATATGGCTGAAAAATCTGTCACACTGTACTAAAAGGGTTAACTAAGGCCTAGGGCATTACCAAACATGGAGTAAATGAAGCCCGTGGAATCCAAGAACCAACCACACAAGCTACAAGTTGTATTGGCAGTGCTTCACAATGGGCAGTGCTTGTTTGTACTTTCATCTGAACTAGGACACAGATATTCAAGATGAGGCAAGGCTCCAATTAAATCCATCATCATCGTAAACTTCCAAGAGACTGTTTCAGTTGAGAAGTATTTCCCAACAAAGCTGCCTCTGAATTAGAAGCCTTGCAGCCATGGTTGCATTGGCATGGCAAGTGGTAAGTCACTGGTGGCAGGAAAAATGCACATGCATTGCTTGGGTCATGTTATCAAGAATCAAGAAGCCTGTATCAATTGGAAAATAATTCAGGGACACCTTTTTTCATTGGGATATGGTATAGATGCATCCCAACCAAAATACTTTGGTTTATAATTGTTGTTCTATACCAAGCAAAAGCTGTTCCTTGGTCTGAAACAAAGGCCAGAAGACTTCCACTGTGATTTTTATGACATTGGACTACGTAGGAGAACAGATATACTCATATTTTCAGAGACTGCCACAAAGAGATGCCTCTTATCTTTCCCAGTCTAGTCAAACCTCCACTTTCAAAAGTTTGAAACATCAGCCTCTTTCAAAAAATTTTTTCTTGCATTAGGTACTCTCCTTCATTTCCCATGCCTTAGGCAAGCAGCCTCCAACTGCAAAGAACAGATCCTGGATACACAGCAAAGACTAGTGAATGAGTTCCAAACTCTAAATGGGCAAACTTCCTTTAGCCTTTCCATACCTAGAAGGGATGTTGGGGTATATTAACAACCCTTGGTCACACAGTCACCCTCTCTAATGATTCCCCTGTGTTATATAAGTCAACATCAGTCTCATATGTCAGTTTTTAATAATTGGGATTTATCAGCTTCCATAGAGAAGATCCCATTTCTCTCTGACTGGTATTAGGCAAAGGACTTCACAACCATACTGCTGTTGAGATGTGACTAGTCCAACACATGACAATGAAACCAAGAAGTACTAGAGGAATAAATAGAAAATCAGTTCATTCAAAGGACAAAATTGTACCACGATTGCAAGATGGACGGATGAAAGGCCAAAGTGAAGTATATCATAAAAATGAGTATGACCAAAAAAATTCACACAGGGGCAGTCTGATATGGAATATAAAGTATCATGAGAGGAACCATTCATACATAATCATATTGAGACCAATGTCAGGGGAAGGAAAAATTTTTGGACATGATATTTGCATCATGAGAAGAGAGGGATGCAGATCAGGAGAAGGAAGAGAGAAATGAATGGAGGTGGAGTGTAAGTATATGGGGACGAGTTGCAGGCATCAGTTTGGCATGTGTAGGTGCATGCACGGTATTCACGTGGGTCACCTGGCCTCCGCACAAACTCACAAAAGTTTCCAAAATCTCTTGATGAGCAGAATCGCGTTGTCCCCAATTCACCTGCCAAAATCCAATCACACATTCCATCACCTAGTGCTCCAATCAATCATAATACTGACAACTACCTGCCAAAAAGTTCTACCTGTTGTCATCTGAAAAAAATTATTAAAAAATACATAGAGCAATGTTTCTCTAAGTATCTGAGAAAAAGCACTGTGATTCCTTATTTGGACTTCATTACTATGGAAATTTCAATATCTCAGTTTGTCAAAAATAAAAGTACTGTACTTTTTTTTGTTTTCAAATCCTGACAAACTTACATTCATAACAAGACTTCAAAAAACAAAGAATAGGCTTTTTCCAAATAATCTCTTCATTATGGCTTTGCATTTGAAGCTGCATAACATACTCATCCTTCAACTACCATTACCATGAAATGGCCAAAATAATTTGATCCAAAAGATGATCCTCTGCCAAACATACTCAATATACACCTGTATGCATACAGAACACCATGAATAAAGGTTATCCCTACAAAAAGGCAGAGATCAAGTGAAGCAAGTATTGACAATAGTTTTAATACAACACATATCCAGAGAAGACCATGTTTCATGCAAGAATGTGATTGTGCAAAAGTGAGTGAACTACTCAAAGATATCATGCAGTCTTCAGTGATAAAAATGAGGTTCAATGGACATTCATGTAGGAAAATAAAATCACTAAAAGAATCTAGCTGAGATGTTTCAATAGCCTCTTCCAGGAGTCTTTCTTTTAGGGCAAAAAATGTATCCTTCTCTCATCAATCCACTTAAGCAAGTAAAAGCTTATGTCTACAATGGAAAATTCATTGAAACCCCTGCTTTCATCCCATATAGAAACTTAAAAAATGTGCCAAACCCCCCCATTACGAACTTGCAACAATTTAATGGCTCCAATTTGTGCAGAAGAGTTACATGGGATTAAATATGGGGTGATTTAAAATAGCTTCATTTTCTATTGAAGATAGGTGTCTTGGTATTTGTGAGTAAAATGGATGAGTTTTACTCCCAAATACATTCCATCAGTGACTAGCTATGAGGAGATGGAATGATGATTAGGTTTTTTTCTTTTTTTAACCCTCTGTCTCAGCCATAGAATTCCCAATTACACAATTTACAGGTAGATCATTCCTCCTGAAGCACATAACTGGTCTGTGTTTGATCATTTCAGGGTTCAATTAAATTTGACATGCAGCCAAATTAGGGTGAGAATTGTATTGTATTGCCATATTGTATCTCCATGGCACATGGAGAGAGCCACATTAGGATTGGAATTTACCAATGAGACCAAAATAGTGGGATTTTCAGCATTTCAACTCCCCCACATAATTGACTTAGCAAAGCCACATTTGGGAATCATAGCAGTTAAAAATCACTTGGCATAAAAGTTATCAATTCACGGACTCACTCCTCTCCAAATTTGATGCATGTGGCCCAACTCCTACTCAAAGAATCATGAGACTGACATTTTTTTAATTCTAGCAATTATTATTCGAACATTTCCCAACAAAATGGAAGAAAATTCATTAAATTACTTTTATTCCCCTTTCTCTTAGCTCTAATTAACCAACCAACTCTATGAAAGAGAGCAAGGAAGTTAGCTTTTGAGGTTGGGGTCAATTTTGTATTGATGGCGACTTTCAAAACCATTATATTAGGGCTGTCAATTCGATTAGACTAATAGACCAATTAAAGCATTAATCTCGATTTTAAAAATTAATAATTTTAATCGCCACCCTAATCTTCCTGTGAATGTCTCTTTTTCCTCATAAAATGTAACCCTTCAATGCATAATTTTTTTAATGTAATAATTTTAAAAATAAGTCAGGTTACATAGGGGTAATCCTCATTATTGTAGCAGGTGTGTGAATGCTTGCAATGATGTCTTTGTCAATAGAACATATTGAGGTGGTGTTGTTGGTTCTTTGCATTTTGTGAAGGATATGATTGTGTTTGATAGTGCTAATAAAGATATTCCCTATGTAACCTGACTTACGAATCACCATGTATAACGAATTTTCTTTACAACTGATTTTTTTTACAGTTCCTGGCCGTTTTCCCATTCACATGCATGTTGAAAAGTTTCTGCATATAGAAGTCCCATATAACGAATTGTTCTGTTTTACGAAATTGTTTTTTCATCCGAAGGAACAACACTGTTCCATATTACAAAGTTAAAATCTGCTGCACGTGTCAGAGCTACTTTCTTCCGTGCATTCCTCTAAAATCTCATCTGGTACCTAAATTTAGTATGTCCTGCATACTTCTTGGTGTGGCCATGGTAAGGGAACAATGTCAATCATTCAGGCTTCTCAGGATCAGGCCTAGTCTAGATTTATGCCTGGTCAAGCAATCGAAGCCTTTGGCTATTTTTTGGCCTGGCCAAATATTGAGCATGAAATGTTTAAACATTGAGTGCTCTGCAGACCACAGTTCAAAGAATCCTCCAGGAAAGGGCACAGCTGATGATCAGTTGGGACTTTGTTTCCTTTGAATAGAGAGCATTGCTGACTCATCCGATTTTTTGTACACATAATTTAGGTACATATATAACCCGAGAGCTGAATTTCTGCCATATTTCATGCACTTAGACCTTTGCACTCATTTCATGAATGGACAATGACTTGCTTTCAACACTAAGTGACATTTTGAAGTGATATTGACATAAGTGTAACAGATTTCTTTCTTTTTTTCAGGGAAATGAGAGAAATTCCCTATAATAATTTTTCGTTATAACAAATTTCTTAGCCCATCCTTTCAAGTTCGTTATATGGAGCGTCGACTGTAATAATCCTTATTCCAACTTCCCATAGCTGCCCATAGCTGGTTAACGTACCAGTTTTGGTCACATATGCAAGATAGCTTTTTCCCATATACAGGGTGTCTTGTAAGCCACCATGCCATGTGAAACTACAACAACCAGGTCACTGTTGTTAACATTGATGGAAAGAATGTTATAATTTATCATTTATATTTTATAAATTTATATTTATATTATTTATAATTTTTTTTTCACAATGACTTGGAATCAGACTCAAACAGAAATTGCTGCAAAAGCATATCAGAAAGGTGTAATTCTTTAGGGTGATTTATGGTACACTTTGTTGCATCCTCTTCTACTAAATTTCTAAACTTAATGTTTTTCTCTCCTAATTTCATATAGACTTGAGAAACAGAATAAATAAATAAATAAGCTTAATTTGCTTTTGCTTTCATGAAAAAAGGTTTTATAATTGATGCTTGAGCAATGAAGAGAAGTTGGATTCTTTGAGAGTCCCATCAGAGTTCAAAGGGAGTTTTGGTATTATTTTGGTACTGAGCCTTATGCCAAATGCATTGATATAGGTGGAAGGCATTTTGAGGCACTTTCAAACTCAGAAATACCACCATTATTGACAAAGATGATTCCAAATGATATCCTATTGTTTAGTCAATTTTACTTATTTTATGTGCCAATTGTTAAGAAGTGGATTTTTGAAATGGTATAGTGGCTTATGGGACAACCTGTAAATTAATAGGGTGTTTTTTTTTAATTACCCAATACCTGATATAGATCTGATATAGACCTGATAATTAAAAAATTGAACAGGTTTATTTTTCACGTAGAAACAATATGAGAACATATGCATACGAGGCTAAATGCAGGATTCACAGCTCCAGCAGCCAGTACATAGTCAAGTCCCTTTGGCTTTCAATGATGGCAGAAAGACAATGAGGGATACTTTCAACCAGTTTTCAAAGAAGTCTCAGCTAAGCCTTGCCTGTTCTTCTTTGATGGCCTGCTCTAACCTGTTCTCTGTTCAGCATTCCCTTTGATGACTGCCCAAACATTCTCAATTGGGTTCATGTCTGGCAACTGCGATGAATGAAGGAGCCAGATGACAGAATGTGCTGCTCGCCTTTCCTTCACCAACTTGGACAAGTGTTTGGGGTCATTGTCCTCTTGCAGGAACCATGACTTTTGGGAATCTCTGAACAGATCCAGAATAGAGGGGCCTTTTCATGGACCTCATGATTGTCCCCATGCTTTGAAAAAAGTGAAATCTAAACTTTATGGGTGATCAGGACCTAACATCTTATATTTGCACACAACCACCAATCTCACTCCATTGCTCAGATAGACCTATTCATTTTTCTAAATTATCAGGTCTGTATTTTAGGGAAAGTACCAAGAGCACCTATGAGATATAGACTAAATCCATGTACAAATAGAAACAGATGGGTTAGAAATACTCTTCCCATTGTTATATTAACCCTTTGGCTATTTGCCCGAGTACATACTCAGGCTTGTGTAGTGGTCGCATGGGTATGTTCTCAGGCTCAGAACATTCACTGTTTCTAGGTTATTTCACAGCTATTCATGCATGTAACTGCTATCTTCAATAATTATCATGATATGACATTTTCTTACATAAGTGTATTGTTTTTAGACAAGCAAGGCCAGTTTTTATACAAAAACATATCAACCATCCCCCATGTTATAACAGTCAAAGGGTTAAATACTCCAAATGACTGAAACACAAGAGTAAAGTGCTTGAGTATAAAAAACTCACATTCCCTTATGCTGACAACTCATCCATCATGCCTTCAACTGTTGTAAACTTGAAGATGAATCAACGAAAACAATGACAAGGAGCATAACCAGATTCAATACCATTTCCAGCACATACACAGAGGGTGTTTTAGGAAAAAGAGATGGAGCACACCTCCTATGACACCAGTCGCTTTGAGGCAGAATTGAGCATCATGCACATGACTACAGTTAGAGAGGAAAGGTTGAAGATGCCTCATGTCCTTAGGTCGTGGAATGCAACCCCAATGCTCCCATGATTTGCATTCATAGCACTGAATCCCATGTCCACCTGAAGAATTAATTAGTAAATCACCAAGATTCACTTCTTTCAAACTCTGTCCCCATCATAAAAATTCAAGCTATACACCAACAGGGTTTCCCTGCCCAATAGGTCTACCTGATATTATGATATACATATGATACAACAGGTAGTTCAATTTCCTCAACCCCAAAAGCCATCATGACCAGGGTCTTGAACTTCCAGTTTCATAACCAGTAGCAAGCATGACTGCTTCTCTTGGGAACCATAACAGGCAAGTAGGAGGCTTAAGCTAATATAAATAAAGTTAACCAAGTTGGCCAAGTCATTTGAAACATCAATTTTCAATCACTTCACTAGAGGAAGAAGAAAAGGTTCTGTGGAGAGGGTTGAAGTTAGTGGGAACTGAGAAGAACCAGCCCAGCTTGAGATGAGTCATTAATTTACTTCCAAGGCCGTGCAGAGAGGGGAGAGGCAAATGGACAAAGCCATTCAGAGGAGCTTCCACCAACATGGGCCTAAAACCTACTACCTGCAAATACTCCTGTCATTTTGACACAGTAGGAAGCCTCATTGAGATCATTGCATGGTGCTGGCTCCAATGGGGTCCCTGGTTCCAATGTCTCTCCACACTGAAGCTCATCTGAGCTTGTGCATTGATAGCAGGTCAGGCTCACAACTAGGTGGGGTAAACAGATTCTTTCTGATCATCAACCTCATCTCCATCAAGAATATTCAACCACCAGTTCACTGCACATCATAGTACTGCAGCTCAAACAAAAGGCTCATGACTCAAAGAAGAGATGCAAACTTCATTCCTTACCTTTGCATACTCTGACACATTTTCAGAAATGTATCATTGGCTAATGGAAAAGGAATTTTGGTACTTGATAATGTCCGGAAAAAAAACATCAACTCTGCATACCAGTCTTTTGCACCTATCATCCGCTTATGGGAACTCCTGGAAAAGCCAGGCTCTTAGATCAAAAAGCACATCAATAAAGAGAACTGTTTCACACCTCAAGTACTCAGCTTGGATCTGAAAATATTTTTGTACAGGTGTTGCAGTAAATTCTGACTGGTTTAGTACATTTTCAAATCTGATTAGTAGGGCTGTACTGATGGCAGCGTTTGGCCAATGAACCAATGGTCAGTATAGGTCATACAAGCTAGGCTAATTTGTATAATCTTTAGCAAACCAGAAAATATATATATTAAGAAACCTGCTTCTTAAATTAATAAACTATGGACGACAGGGTTCAAAAGTCTCAAGGTTATGAGTGAAATCTTAATGAGGTATTAAGTACAGGTGGTACTGGACTCTTTCTCTGTTAACCCTTTTGCAGGCAAATTTTTTTATTTTTTCCCAAAGCAAAGGAGAGTTGAACATTTTCCGGGAAGTATACATCCCACTGCCCATGAAAAGGTTAACAAGCAACCCACCTGCTTCCATGGGAAGTATCATGGGGTAATACACATGCCACCTCTAGAAGATCATCCAGTCTCAGAAACCAGAATGGTCCAGGTGGCATGGATCCTTAATGAGGTGCCATTTTTTATAACCTGTCACACCCCAGCATGAGACTGAATAGAATAATAAAAAAGGCTGCAAAGGCAGACTTGACTTGGAAGCCTAGCATTTTGTGAAGTCACATTTTGAGTGATTTGTATCACAGCTTGATCTTTCCACCATCCCTTGCCTGAGCAGGATGCCATTGAATCTGCCCTCAAGCTATAAGTGACATTTTGAGGAGAGGAAAGACAGGTTGAGGGCTTGATTATGACAAACAAGCTACTACAGCTTCTTTGTGGATTAAAGTAGTCCTTTAGCCCTTCCTGGGCCTGGATGGGCAGTACAGGTCTAGCACGCCTCAGAAATCATTCTTGCCTATCATGGGCATGATACCTTTGCCTACCCATGAGCTGCCCTAGGATCTTCTACATAGCCATACAGGGGCATCCCTGCCAGGGTGGCTGTTATCTCAGTTGTGGTACAGTACAGTTGAGTGATCGATACATGTCTACCCTTTAAAGAAAATATATATATTGATGCCTTAAAAAGCAAATTATTTTTCCTGATGTATCAAGCTTGAACATGTAAAGCTAACATTTTGAGTCTCATGCCAGTGAGTATATCTCTCCACTTGAATATTCACTGAAATTTACCCATAGTATCTATCAACAGGGCATAACCATGCACTTAAGTACTGCTATTTCAGACAAAGTATCCAATGATTGGCTAATACTTGCTGGGCACACAGTATAATAGCCACTTAAATTTCCAAGAGTCAAAGTGTTACCATCAGACCAAACGTTAACCTTTTCCGACCTGAATTAAGGCTGCTATTGGAATAACATCCTTTTTTGCATTTTTGAGCTCTTTCGTGATTCTAATTGAAATTTTCATGCTTTATATGTAGTTGCATGTTTTGTATAAATTTACCATATCATACCATATATTATATATTATACATTTTATTAAATAACTGAAATTACCAAACTAGTGGGTGAAAGAAGGCCTCTGATGGAACTGAGCCATGCATAATTGCACCCATTGTAGTATAATATAGAGCGCAATGTCACGAGAATCCTAAGAAATTTGCCATAGACACAATGTAAACGCAATGTCCATTGAAATGGACGCCAGGTCTGAAAGGATTAACATGAGTGGGATAATGATACACTTATGTTAGGCCTAACGATCAAGCCTAGGGCTGTTAGCCAAAATTCTAAAACGATAACTTTCCTCACTGATAAATATATATACTGTCTTGTATAAACAATGGTATTTCGTGAACTGACCAGTAGGAAGGAATGCGACGATAACCAAGCCGAGAAGGCACAGCAGAGTGGAGAAAGCGTCACTCCACCGTCCCATCATTTCCTCAGAACTTGGCGTACAACTGGATTGCTTACTGGTGACTATGGGTACTTCGAGTTTGGAATACCTGTAGGCCTCAGGACTGGTTAACACGCGTCGATTCAACGCCCAATCTCTCAAGGCAGATTCAGAAGCAACCTCTGTACATCGTAGAGAATGCAGAGCATGCAGGTAGAGGCAGACATGTTAGCAAGTGATGTCACGTCCACAGATTAATGAGTTTTTTTTTATTTTCTCTCATTGAAGGCATGGATTTCATCAAGAAGCAACAATAGATCCTAAAAAGGGAAATTACAATAACAGATCATTGTATTGAGCGTTGTACATTTCACGTCTCATGAAGCAAGGTTCAGTTCACAGTCATTTTCAAACACAGCGCCATTGAGACAGGTATTATGAGCTCAAACGGCAGGTGAAAATGGAAATAACCATTGCCCATGTACAACACCTTGATTCCACCTGTGAAAGTCTAGGAAACACTGGCAACATCAAACCATTTTGGAGGCACATTGCATCTCCTAGAGCAGATGTCAATGGCATGCCATCATTAAACACTGGAAATAGGACAGCTTGCTCGGACCCAGAGAAAGCAGAAGTTTTAAAGAGCCAGTGCAGCTGTTTCCACAATAGAAGATGAGACTGAACCAATACCGTAAAAACCTTTAACAAACCTCCCCTCCTCCAATCGAGAGACCTCTCATATCTTCAGAGGGAGTTAAGAAAGTAATAACGGACTTTCTCCTCCAATGGATCAGGAACTTTCTCATTGATTCTCATCTCAGCAGAGTCCTACTGAATAAACCGTTTCTGACCGGATGCTTGTAAGATCTGGAGTTCCTGGAGGTCAGTCCTGGGACTAATATTGTTTCCGCTGTTCATCAACGACATTGAGGGGGTATTTCCTAGTATGTCAGGCTCTTTGTTGACAATTGTATTGTTTACCGCGAGATTCATAGTCAGGCTTAGATCCTCTTGCTGCAGAAGGCTTTAGACACTTCAATGGCCCAAGAAATGGCTGCTCATGGAGAACTTTGCATTTGCCTGACTTTTTCAGCCAGGTAAATGCAAAGTACTCAGCGTATTTAATATATACGAGACGCTAATTCTAACCATGTTCTAGAGAATTTAGAAATCGGAAACTTGGTACGACAGGTACCAATTGGGATGCTAAATTCAGACAAATTCAGACTTTGGAGGTAAATGCCCTGGGGGCACATCATTTGGGGGGAAGTTTTCAAATAATTTTTTTTGCTTCAATCAAATGATGAGACCTGGAAAGCTAAAACTTGGCGTGATACTAAGATACTGAGTTCAGGAAAAAATGTAATGTTTGAGATACACCCATGGGAGGTACATTTTTTGGAAGTTGATCTTTTCAACGAATTTTTTTGTCATAGCGAATCGGGAAGAAATAGAAAGGTGGAACCTGGCCCATGCATAGGGTAAAACCACCTAAGTTCGGACACTGTACCAAACATTGCTAAAAAAAAATTAAACATTCGCTTTCAGAAATGGTTCTTCCAATCACGAGATGAACACTTTACTGAGCGAAGGACAAGCGGTGGTGATGAAGGCTTTGCAAGATTCCAAGATATTGGACTTGGGCCAATGTGATATCGCAAACAGGGGGAGTCCTATGAGAAACCGTAAGGAGAGAACCTTACTTTTAAAACGTTTCACACCTGACATTGCCGTTCTCTGAGCTCAATTATTACTTACCAGGAAACAGGGAGGACATGGAATCCCATTAAGCAGAATGCACATGCCTTGATCAGATTACCGTCTTACTTTCGATGTGTCCGAACTTAGGTAAGGAAATGTTTGAGAAACATGTTCGGACATACATCCATGCGTGTCATTTACTCGTAAATATGATGTCCTCTATTGAAAGAAAATCGCCCAGAGTTGACAAAAACTCAGTTGAAGCTTGCTTTTCGGGGAACATGTTTTTTGAGCCCTGTCTGAACTTTCATAGCGGGACATGTAACTTCGGACACCGTCAAGCGCATAAGTAAAAATTAGGACTGTCACAATTAGCAGTTTTCAAAACATCGACGCATCGACCTGAACTATCGATAGTTTATTGATACATCGTGGTGAGGGGGGGGGGGGGCCGGAGGATTCAATCTTTTCTCGCCGCGATTGGGCGTAGGTTTGTCTTCCATCGTTTCTTGGCTCAATCGAAGCGCAGACCTCTGTCCGTCTTCCATAATCCTACGCTTGTGATCGGGGAGTGAGGGGGGAATGTGAGACCTTCGCAAGGAGTAATGAGGAGGACCATGCCTCCAATTATCGAAGATTACATCTGTTCATTGATGGATGCATCAGGACAGCCATACTTTTTTCGTATTGTCGTTTAGAATTAGTTGCCAAGCCCGTTCACGTAATTTTATTCAATTTTTCTTCGTTTTACACGGTCCTGTTTGGACATCGGCACTGGCAGATAGAAAACCTGGCGATAGGGCCAAACCGGCGGTTGTGAAAACATCGGTAAGCCGATAATAAGCAATGTCCAGGTGAAAATTTCATTTTGAGTTTATCTTAAGTGAAGCGATAAAATTCCCCAGGGCATGTTACAAATTTTAAAAAGTTAAGCTTGTATACTAAAGAGAAAGACGGGAATATAGAGAAGTGATTAACCAATGTACGTTTCGAAATCAAGGGAGTACAAGAACAGTCCACTTTCGCAGTATGAGCCTGATGAGATCGAGCCGAAGACAGAAACAGAAAAAAAAATGAAATTCTCGGTCTTCCCTCCCTCTCTTTCCCACTTCCTGTCTCCGATCCGACATGTTTTTTTTTTTCCTTCCCGTCTTTCTTATAGTCAGTTCCAGCATTTCCAGAATTATATCGTGATATATTGCAAGCCCATGCGAGTCACGCCGCTTCTTCCATTCCCCGCCCGGACGGGCTCCATTCGCTTCAATCCAACGGGACATTTCCCCTTAAAAATCTTTTGTGATACATCGCGATGGTCGAAAAAACTATCGATACCTCCAACCATCGATAGTGGTATCGATGCATCGATCTATCGTGACAGCCCTAGTAAAAATACAGCATCATATCCCTAGTAGCACATAACATTAATTCAACATGGATTCAACTTTGATTCAACGCCCGGATGTTGAATCAACATAGAATCAATGTTGAATCAATGTCATGTACTACTAGGGATGTTTCTTCGCACACCTAGATGTGCAGCCTGCCTCCAAAGCAGTGCAATCATGGTAGAAGGTTAAAATGCAAGGGATTATTGACCCAAGCCTGCTGAAAAGAGATTTAAAAAATTGGTTGAAATCAGTTTCTTTAAATCGATTCCTCCACGTGTATACCGATTTTCATCAAAATCCGAGATGGTCGAGCTCACTCGCTGGTCGATTTAGCGTAGAATGACCCAAAATGCTTCAAGTGGCTAAGGTTTGACGATTGATATCTCAGTAAGGAGGTGAGATAAAATCATGAAACTTTGTGGGCTACTGGATCAAGGCATAATCTAATGAATGATGAACTTTAAAAGACTATCAGATTAATAAGATCTTGATTTCAAAGGTTTTGTCGGAATCAGTTTTTTAACCTGATAGAGGGCGCTGCGATTACAAAACTCTGTCGAATATTTTGGCAAAAGTTGTTCTATATTGTGGTCAATTTTCATCAAGATTGGTTGCGTCCTCTCAGAGATATGAGCGTTCAAAGATGTACAATTTAAATGAGATACCCTGTATATAAAACGGCACGTGCCCAACAGCCCCCCCCCCCCCCCCTCCAGACGCTACGCCGCTGATTACCCTTTCTGCTTGGAAAAAAGGTAATTGTTGCCTTCCTGACATTTTCGAGATGGCACTCGCCCTTTTGCCAGACCTGCCGCGATATTTTTCTATTAAGACGGCATTCATCCCTCCCTCCCGCCCCCCTTTCTAACTATATCACTTCTCTGATGATATTGCGAACGGAATAATTCCTTTCGGGCTTCATCTTCAATTTCCTTCTGCTTCCCCGTTCAAGGTCGACACGGCAGCAATGAAATACTTGAGTATAATAAGTTCCTCTTTTTTTTTCTTGACCGCCCTGGGGATCGCCTTACAAACCCCCAAAGACAGGTGGCAAGCAGCCGGTACACCTCCTATGCTGGGCGCACAAATGACATGTCTGGGTGAAACTATTTTGATGTTTGAGATCTGAGTGCGAAACCTCAAAATCGGATCCTCCCCAATACCTTTCTATGCTCGGAACGATCAGGATAAGGCATTCCTGATTTTACACTTGTTACACTGGTTTCTCTCTATTCTGTTGGGAATCCTCCCAAGCGTGATTTTTTTTAGTAGGCAGCAACTCCTCCAGGGTTACTTATTTTTCCTATTTGCCTCTTTTGGATGCACGGCTTCACAAAAAATCACAACTCAAAAACTAGTCACAATAAAAAATGAAAAAATACACATTACCAAGACACGTAAGAACAATTCAAAAGCAAAATTACTCACCCCATCCGTGTTTCTCGCCATATTGGCCATGCGCACAACATGTGTTAGAATATGGAAAATATTGGCTCTAACTTCTGGGGGGAAATAGAACTACATTGGGAATAGTTAGAAAAAAACCCTGTAAGAAAAAACCCTAAAAACCCTGCATCTACCAGCACAAGTTATAACTGCTTGCAAACGAACGTGATAGTATTTAGAAAGCATTGATGGCATACCACGTATGTCGCCGTACGCGCTACCTAGAAGTTAACGGGAGAGCGGCTTATGCCGTCGCACACGCTTGGGAGATTATCGTTCCCACCTCCTCTTCCCCCTTCTGAATGTGAAGTTGTCACCTTTCCAGTGTAATGTTCTCTTTAATTTCATGCAATACTTCTTGGTTGACCCCAGGACCTTCCACATGCATGCTGAGTCGAGTTGTCGAAGTGATTCTCGTGATTCCGTGTCTGACACCGCAACGCAGCTTCAAGCTGAGAAGTAGTAGCATTGGCGACTGAAAGAAAGAATCAAATTAAGACTTAATGCGTCACGAGGCACCATTGTCTCGTGACTCAAAACCCATCACAATTAAACATTTTTTACTTCTATCACGGTACGAGATACTCGTGCCCGTATCTCACTGTCAATTTTAGTGAGTAAGGCAACGTATAGGGTGTGAACAAATGTTGGAGCTATATTTTTATGTATACAAATATCAAAGTTGCCCAAAAAGCACTTGAACAAGGAAAGACAAAATGGATTACCGCAGTGAACGGGGAAGCAGAACATGTAAAATTTAGACAATAACTTGAAGCGGATATACGAGATTGCTATTGTGGTGGTATGAGAAGTTCTCGTGTGCCTTTCGACTTCTTTCCCTCGAGGTAGGGTGATCACAGGTTAACTATAGAGAAGACTATTCAGACTGGGAGATTCAAGAGGCTCACATTCGGGACGTTCTTTACGGAGGTTCCATGTTCGTCAATCTTTTCGCATTGACAACGGTGCTTCGTGAAAAGTGAAACTCCTTGACCAGTATAGACTCAAGAGAATGAGGTTAGCGGTTTCTCTTGGCGGTGACCGCAAGGAACCTCCGTTGTCACTTCGAGAAGGAGGCCATTCGGACAGCCTCCGCAGAATCCAGGACAAGCTCAGAAGAAAAAGGGGGAAAGCATAACTTTTCAAGGAAACATTATGCATGATCTCCGACACTCTTCTACGCACTTGCAACACTGAAATGATTATTGTCTTCCAGTTTCAGTTCTGCTGGAGGATGTTAATGAACTTCGATGATTAAATCCAGTTCAGATTTTGCCGGTATATATAATATCATCGACCTTTTCAAGGTTTTTCTTCCTATCTGACTTCCAAGGTGTCTCTCGAAGGGCTAGAACAGGTGTTACTAACTTGCGGCCCTTGGGTTGCTTCCTGCCCGCGACGAGATTAAGTTCGACCCTCAGGCTCCATCCCACTTTTTAAAATATCATGTTTAGGGCCGATTCTTGTGATGGAATTAAGCATAGAGACCATTAAACAGAAAACCCTTTACCTACGAGGAAGTTGCATGAAATAGCATGAAAAAGATAAAATGATCTTTTAGAGTAAAAACCGGAAATTGGAAACTGGAAATCACAATTAGGTCAATGAGGTAATTAAAAGCCATTTAGGAATCAAAGGAGGAGGAGAAAGAAGGATCGGACCTTATACTCTAAAGTACGTATTAAAATACTGCTGGGGAGCCAAACTGCCTCACCTGTCGCCTACAGTTATCCTATGGTCTCTAGCTGATAACCGCTTATTAAGAAAATTCCAATATGCGAAGAAAATGTGATTAGCGGTGAAGGCTTTGGTTAAGGAAACTCTATTAACACTATTTTTCAAATTGATGTTAATCACTAATCGGATTTGATAATTCAGCCAGCAGTTTTCAAATTAGCAGCTATCTATGAACCATTGACCATTTGACCATTCCATGAACATTTTAGAGAGTCTACTTGAGCATTAAAAACCAGACCGTCTTCCATCTTTTGTCCATCAAATCGTAGGAGGATTGTACAGGGTGACACAGAAACATTAAAGCAATGTAAAAGCTTTGTCTTTTTTTCAACTCCTCGATACAGGTATTGTATGGAATGTGGCACCGTCCTTTTGAAAGTA